GCATCCCCACCGGGCTCCCCTCCTCCTTAGGGCAGGTGGTGCCCAGCTTGTCATCCATCCCCTCCTCCCTCCGCCCCAGGATAAAGCCCCCACGGAGGGGCAGAGGAAAGAAAGGTGCTGCCCCTCAGCCCTGCTTTTTGGGTGAAAACAGTGAGACTCGGTGGGGACCTGCAGCCCCCTGGGAGATCTGGCTGTCCCGTTCCTCGGTGCCCCGCGGCACAGGTTGTCCCCTCTATCAGGGAAGCAAATGCAACCTTTCCACTTTGCCTCGTTATTTCCATCCGCTTGGGTGAGTAAGAGCCGTTCTGCTGCCACAAGCTCTTTTGGAGCGCAGATTTCATTGGGAGCGCTGACAGAGGCAGCCGGAGCTGGGAGACTGGACTTTGGGTACTGGGTCCAGTTTGGGAAGCAGGAAGGCTCCAGCCTGGCACGTCCTTGAGAGCTGTGTCTCTGTGGCGAGGCGAGGTAAGCAATCAGTAAAGAGGAGAGGCTTTTTGCAGCCTTTTGGCATCATTCCTGGCTCCGCAAGAAATCCCACGACACCCTTTCGGCCTGACCTACGCGAAACAACCTTATTTAGCACAAGGGCCGTGGGTCATCGCTTGCCGGCAGCTGGTGCAAAACACGGGTGGGTGGAGGAAACTGAACCATCTACTCCCATGGCACGACAGATTTCGTTTTAAAGCAACAATTCTTATGCTTTGGGTGGTAGAGGAAGCTTTGCTGCTGTAACTTTGCAGCACCGCTGTCTTCTGCTGCTTGGTTGTTGCCCGGCCGGAGCACGCCAGGTTGGACGGGAATAGCCTGGGTCGTGCTGGAGCTGCGAGGAAAAGGGGTGGCCTGTGCCTTGCTCTGGTTTTGAGTGCTGTGTCAAGCAGCCATGACAGCTGCCGAGCTCTGCAGGGGGAAGAAACAGAGCAGGCAACGTGAGGCAAGATGTCTTTGTAGCGAAGACAGGGTCTTGCGTAAAACCCCGCCGCGCTGCGCAGCGGAGCACCGCCACCGAGTCTGGCGGCCTCGTCGGAAGCAGGTTGCTTTGCGAAGCCTCTGCGGGAGGTGGGTTTCTCAGGCGAGGGTGGGATTTCTGCCTGGAGCACATCTGTAACATCTGCTGCTTTTCAGATGGGGCTCTTGCCTTTCCCACCCTCTCTCCGCAGCTGGCCAGGCTGGGAAGAAAAATACTTCAAGTGGAGGTTCAGACCTTCCCCTTTGAGACATGAGCCTTGCTGTGTCTCCTTTCCTCTTTTATTACTCCCAGCCCAGTGGCCTGCAGCGCCCAGAAGCTCTCCGTATTATTGCTTCCTCCTAAAGCCAGCTCTGCTTTTGCTTCCCCACAGACCAGACCAGACCAGTCCCGCTGCCCAGGAATGCTTGTCCCTGGCTGGGGAGCTGCTGGAGCTCTGGAGAGGAAAAGAAACTACCCAGGGGGCTGTGGCATTTTGCTGATTTCCAGTAAAATTATTTAAAAAAAAAAAAAATCCCTCCATAGTGTCTATCTGAGTGACTTATGCTTTTCCTCTGAGGAGGAGGGGTGCCGGGGGGGGGCGGCAGCCCCAGTCATGGGAAAACGATGCTGGCAGCCTGCAGGGATTTGCCTTCGCCTTGTGCGATCCTGGCGGGGAGGAGACTTCCTGGGAATGTTGCACGCTGGGGTAAGGAAAACCCCATTCTCCAAAGGGCTGGGCTGAGCCCCCACCACGGCTTGTGGGACAGGAATTGATGGCTTGCCAAGCCCGTGGCTTTGGGAGGTTCGTCTCCACCCCGGGGCTCGCTGCCGAAAGCGAACCTCCGGCGGTGCCAGCCCACTCGCTGCGCGGGATTCGCATCCTCTGCCTTCGTATCTTCGGCTGTTCGGTAATTTTAAAGCAGGAATCATTTCCTTCTCCTGCTTCTGCATGGCCGGTGTGGCGATGGCTGTGGCACCGATGGCCCTGGTGGTGATGCACAGTGGGGAACAGCCTGGCCGTGGCTACACGGTGCCAACTTGCTCCCCTGCCGCTGCGCAGCTATTTAAATAACCACCCTGCTTTCGTCTTCGCCTGGGAGTCTCCCCTGCCCTCTCGAGCTCTCGTTCTCGCCTTTTGCTGAGTTGTCATAAAAATTTACTACCTAAAGGTCTCGGTGCCCCGCTTGCAACCAGCAACGCCCACGGGTGACCGCGACGTCTGGCAGACTCTGCCG